TTTTTACATCCCAGCTATTGTGACACCAGATCTAAGTGGTGGCACTGGTCACCGTATCCACTGTTAGCGTAACACACCCGCTTTAAGGACACTGACTGCTATTCAATCTATAACAGTGAAAAAAGATTATTTTTTTAAATCCAAACTATTGTGACACCAGATCTAATTAATGGCACTTGTCAGCGTATCCACTGTTAGCGTAACACACCCGCTTTAAGGACACTGACTGCTATTCAATCTATAACAGTGAAAAAAGATTTATTTTTTTTAAATCCAAGCTATTGTGACACCAGATCTAATTAGTGGCACTGGTCAGCGTATCCACTGTTAGCGTAACACACCCGCTTTAAGGACACTGACTGCTATTCAATCTATAACAGTGAAAAAAGATTATTTTTTTTTTAAATCCAAACCATTGTGACACTAGATCTAATTAGTGGCACTTGTCAGCGTATCCACTGTTAGCGTAACACACCCGCTTTAAGGACACTGACTGCTATTCAATCTATAACAGTAAAAAGTTTTTTGTTTTTAAATCCAAGCTATTGTGACACCAGATCTAATTAGTGGCACTTGTCAGCGTATCCACTGTTAGCGTAACACACCCGCTTTAAGGACACTGACTGCTATTCAATCTATAACAGTGAAAAAAGTTTTTTGTTTTTAAATACAAGCTTTGTGTCACCAGATCTAAGTGGTGGCAATGGTCACCGTATCCACTGTTAGCGTAACACACCGCTTTAAGGACACTGACTGCTATTCAATCTATAACAGTGAAAAAAGTGTTTTGTTTTTTTAAATCCAAGCTTTGTGTCACCAGATCTAATTGGTAGCACTGGTCACCGTATCCACTGTTAGCGTAACACACCCGCTTTAAGGACACTGACTGCTATTCAATCTATAACAGTAAAAAAAGTTTTTTGTTTTTAAATCCAAGCTATTGTGACACCAGATGTAATTGGTGGCACTGACTGGGGAAATGGGCACAGTATGCACTGTGAGCCTGACACAGAAGCTGGCAGCAGTGGCAGACAACTGACTGCTATTCAATCTATAACAGTGAAAAAGTTTTTTGTTTTTTTAATCCAAGCTATTGTGACACCAGATGTAATTGGTGGCACTGACTGGGGAAATGGGCACAGTATGCACTGTGAGCCTGACACAGAAGCTGGCAGCAGTGGCAGACAACTGACTGCTATTCAATCTATAACAGTGAAAAAAGTTTTTTGTTTTAAATCCAAGCTATTGTGATACCAGATATAAGTGGTGGCACTGACTGGGGAAATGGGCACAGTATGCACTGTGAGCCTGACACAGAAGCTGGCAGCAGTGGCAGACAACTGACTGCTATTCAATCTATAACAGTGAAAAAAGTTTTTTGTTTTTAAATCCAAGCTATTGTGACACCAGATGTAATTGGTGGCACTGACTGGGGAAATGGGCACTGTGAGCCTGACACAGAAGCTGGCAGCAGTGGCAGACAACTAAGTGCATTTACATTAGATAGAAAAAAAAATCCAAAAAAAGCATACCCTTATCCCTAACCTAGCTATGCTTTTCCCTATCTTATGAACAGCAGCTACACTTTCCCTCCTCTTACTAAGCATGCAGCTTGAGAATGAATCTAAAATGGATGCTGTCCAGTAGGTGGGAGGGTCTGCTAGGGAGGCTGTGCTGCTAATTGGCTGGAATGTGTCTGCTGACTGTGAGGTACAGGGTCAAAGTTTACTCAATGATGACGAATAGGGGGCGGGTCGAACCGCGCATATGTTCGCCCGCCGTGGCGAACGCGAACATGCTATGTTCGCCAGGAACCGTTCGCCGGCGAACCGTTCGGTACATCACTAGATCTAAGTAATTGGCAATGATTCCTCCATATATTTCTACTTGGCATTACACATATTTTGCATTTGCTAGACAGTCAAACTCTTGTATGAAAATGCTAATATTTCCTCCATTTACAGTTAAAGACTAATATCTCCAACCACATGGTCATATCATGCAATAAGCACAATATCACTATCCCTTCAGGCACCTAAATGTTAACCCAATGTTCTCCCAGCTTGTGGCATCGTCATCTTCTTCCAGAAATAATTAAGGAAACTCTTACCGATTATTTTTTTTTAGAAAAGTAACAAAGCTAACTTTTGGCAATAAGATGTGGAGGTTCACAAACCTGTGGTAAGGGTTGTATTTATAACCCATGTTATGGATTACGAAAAGGAGCACACCAAGAATATGAATGCTTCACTGGGAACTTTGGAGGACTTGGAGACACAGCACAAGAAATATCTTCTGCCTCACAGTAGTCAAATACTTACTAAAGTTCCAAATGATCTCAGTGACTTACTAGATTCCAGTGTTTTAAATCACAGTGTTACTAGCATGATGACAAATGTAGCAAATTCCTAGCAAAGGCATTTAAAAATGTCAACAATTAACTATTATTCCTAAGATTTACTTTAGGGATGACACACTCCTCTACAAGACATCAGAGGTAGTGAAAGCTCTTCCTAGTTTTTATGCTAACCTTAATAAAAAACAATCTCACAACTTCTCTGCATCAGCTGATTGTGACATTCTCTGCCACTACCTACAATCGCACATTACTGCCAACCTTACCCATCACATATGAGGAATTTCAATTAGCTTTATAGCCAACCCTTCCTAATAAAAGCTCTGGTCGGGATTGGATTACTGCATGCTATAACCTCAGTTTTACTACACAGCTGACTCTATATGTTTTCTATCATCCTATAACTTGCTAGCCCAAGGCATTGAAATTCCTTCACAGAGACTTCAGGCATACATTTCATTCATCACAAAACCAGGCAATGTCCCAGGACAATTTGGCAGCTACAGGCTTATTTACCTCAACAACAATTTGAAAATAGCATCCACTTGCCTCTCCTAACTTCTGTCAGAGTTAGTCCACCTGCAACAAGTGGGATTTGTTCTTAACAGGGTTAGCAAAAAAGGGTTATTAATTTAATCCATTTTGCTAAATTGCATACATCACAGACCATCTTTTATTTATTTTTTTTGCTTTTATTCGGTAAAGCATGTATACATAGGATTGTCAGATGAGGTATAACATACAATGGCAAACACAGGGCAATACAGTGTGTACAGTGGCTGGTTACAGTGTTGAGTTATAAAACCGTACAAAATACGCTAGCCGAATGGCACAACTGGCATACCTAGTTTAAGCATGCCTTATTGGGTCACATACAGCCAGACCCTCGAACCGCTCGTCCCCTTAAACTGGTGTAGTTACATTCAACATAACACTGTATCTCTGTGCTAGTATGGAAATTCCTGTATATACGACCAGATTTTTTGTAATACTTCCCAGTTCCAGGTTGGGCTAGAAAAATGTAGGGAGGGTTAGAGAAAGGAATACAGGAAGAAGAAAAAGAGAGATAGGAGAAACTGATCTACTGGTGTAGGATATGGAGGAGGAGGCAGTGCACTGTGGTGGTGTGTTCCGATTGTGCAGGTGTTTAACAGGTATCTCGGAAGAGGAGGCAGAGAGAACTGTGGCCTGCCCTAGTTGCCTCTTATTGGTGGTCAGCAGTTGGTGGGTCTGTGTTAACAGAGTCGTCTTGAGCCCCCACCTATTCCTCCCATGCTTCTATTTTTATGTTTGACCTGTTAGAGATCATATGAGTCATCTTTTCACAACTTTGAGAGAAAACTGCTGCACCACTTCTCTCCTGCTGGGAGCTGTGGGGGACTTCCATTCCCTTGCTATCAATAAGTTGGCTACTATTAATATGTGGAAGGTCAATACCCTGTGTTGCCTCATGTGATCGTTTGGGAACATGAACAGGATTCCTGTTCAATGGAGAGCCTAGTTGTTTTTTTAATCACTTCTGAGATTAGTGCTGTTATTGTTTCCCAAAATGGTTTAATCACTGTGCACTCCCACCAGATGTGCAGCCTGGAACCTTTCTCTGTGGCACATCTCCAACATCTGTCAGATGCTGTTGGAAACATGTGGGCCAAGCGCGCCTGTACTACGTACCATCAGGTTGCTATCTTTCTTATGCGTTTGATGCGGGAAATGCACCTAGTATATGGTTGATGCATCTTAAAGGCTCTCGACCAGTCGGCAGCGGGGATCTCGTATCCCAGGTCCCTCTCGCTCGCGTGTTTGGGTACGGGATGATTCGTGTCCCATATTATCGTGTCATAGCAGACTGAACTAACTTTCTTTTTTGGTATAGTGCGTATGCACATTTTATCTATGATGGAGAGATCTGTCTTCATTGGCATGGCAGATGATCGTGTCTGTTTTATTTTCTTTAATGGTGATTGTAACTGTAGGTATATCAAATATCCTGTATGGGGCAAGTCATGAGTGGATCTGAGGTTGGCATAGGGTTTAAGTTCGATTCCGACACACATCTGGTGGAGGAATGTCAGTCCACTACTTTCCCACCCTCTGCTGTCAAAAGTGGGGATGAAGCATTTAAAGCATCTAATTGGGTTGGCCAGTGAGAGCGGGCTCCAGGATGTTATCTTGTGTTTATGTGCATCCTATACCTTGATCACAATGCCTAGAGAGATATCAGCTATGCCTCACTGATGATGCCTAACAAGGTTGAAACAATCGTCTGGGGTTGCTGTGTCTCTTGTGCTGCGGGGACTTGCTGGCATTCCGGATCTGGACTGCCTGTATGGGTGGGACCAGTCTGATATGCTTCAGAGATGTTCTGTCTACAATGGCACAAGATGAGCTAAAACCAGCTTGAGATCTGAGCTGGGACCCACCGAAAGGCAGGCTATTTCAGATGCTGTCCATTCTCAGTACACCCTTTCACCCTGTTTTATTTGCTCTCCATAAGTTTAAAGGGTAATCCAGATGTTGACCCCTTCCTCATGGTGCCTAGAGAGATATCAGCTATGCCTCACTGATGATGCCTAACTCAGACATAAGGCTTCCATATAACACTTTGGCGGTGGGCATATTATAGTGCACCTGAACTGCTGAGAGGTAGGGTTTGGGAAATTTATATTTCCTTCGTACAGCCTCTAGGAAATTCCAATTCAAGCGGTCAAACGCCTTTTCTGCGTCTAGGGAAAGCATGAATGCTTTTGTCCCCTGTGTCTTTAATACTCTCATGTTGTCTACCCTCCACAAATCCTGACTGATCAGGGTGTATTAGTGTTTTGAGGACCTCAGACATCGTATTGGCTATGATCTTAGCGAACAGTTTTGCGCCCGAGTTTAGCAAGAATATGGGCCTTATATTTTTGCATTGTGTTGGGGATTTACCTGGTTTGGGGAGGGTGATCACAGTGGCGGCGATCATGTCTTGTGGCAGCTTGGAATTTAGGGTGACATTGTTAAATAGTTGGAGCAGGTGTGGGGCAAGGATGTTTTGGAATTTTTTGTAATAAATGTTTGAAAGGCCATCTGGACCTGGTGTTTTGTTGGCTGGAGGACTTTGAATAGCTTTCTCAACTACTTCTAATGTGATTAGTGACAACAATTGCTCACATTGAGTGTGGGAGAATGTAGCTGTTAGAATGCGCTCTAGATTTGTTATGGATTCATGGACTGTAGTGTGGTGTTGGTTATTATCATCTTGTATATTATACAGTGTACCATAAAAGGTAGCAAATTTATTACCTATAGCGGCTGGGACAATGATTTTTGAGCCGGCGTCAGTCTTATTATAAGGGTTTCTAGTTCTAGCTTGGATTTTTTTCAGTGCAGAAGACAATTTCCTCCCTGCATTGTTTCCTTGTGTGTAGTGGGATAGTTTTAGTCTTTTTAATATGAAACTGGTGCATTGCATGTGTGCTTCCTGAATCTTATTTTGGGTCTGCAATATTTCTCGTCTGAGGCTCTTAGTGGGATGGGACTGATTGGTCCTATTTAATGTCTGTAGCTTGGCTTCCAAGTCCTTTAGTTTAGTGAGTGATGTATTTTTAATGTGGACCACCTGTTTAACGAACAGTCCCCTCATTACCACTTTATGAGCCAGCCAGATTGTGTCTATCGACACTTCCCTTGGTATTAGTGGAGAAGTAGTGGGATAACTCATTGGACAATTTTTCAGAGTATTGGGGGTTTTGAAGAAGGAATTCATTCAGACGCCATGGGGGCTTGTTTTAAAAAGAAAATATTTCCGATATTGTGAGTGTAACTGAGGCATGGTCTGACCATTCAATGTTCTCTGTGGCGAAAATAACATCGCCATTGGGTTTTGGAGGGGCCTGTTTACCAGACCAGATTATGGCCCATACGCTAAAACTTTGTTTTCTCACAGTAAATGGGATTTGCAGAACAAACTACCGAAAAGCCGGACCACACACAAGTGGAGTATGCAGCCAATTTACCTCCCAGGCTGGTGGTTAACTGCAAGCTAATTGACGAACGGCTGGGTGGTCGCCGTTCGTATAGTCGAACACGTGGCGGCGGCCATCTTGTTTAGTCGAACTGCATCTGAACTATGTGAACTAGACCGGCCGCACAGCCTAAATCCCTGGAACTATTTTGGGCATGAAAGCCATGCTTGCGGTCGGTCAAATAAGACATCCAGGAATTTCCTGAACCCCTGCTCTGATCTGGGTGATTTTTAGATATGTTGTATCTTGCTCAATTATCTCCCAAGCAGAGGGAAGGGTTTGAGTACATTATCTGGGAGCGTCTAACTGTACAAGTCTGTCCTGATTGGCTTTGTAACTTTGTATCCTGTGTTCCACAAGGTCCACGTGGGTGGTAACCTTGTGGGAAAAACCTGTATATAAGAGATAATAAACCCTCAGACTGCTGAGTTCCTGTTTTACCCTCAACATAGAGCCTTGTCTCATGTGTGGGGGAAAAGGCTGCATCTACACTGGGAATGCTAAACGCTGTATACTCCCCTGACTATAATCACTAAGCTATTGTTCCTGCTTCGCTCTCTGAAGGAAGAGAGTTTCATCCACTGGAGCCTGGAGCCTTGTTGTAGGTCCAGGGTGGGCAGGAGATGGCAAGACCCCAACCAAGCTGCAGAGGTTTGTGGGTCCGCAGTGCTTATGGTGTCAAGTGGAGCGCTTGGAACCCTCGGGAAGCACTAGGAGCATCCATCAACGGAGGTACCCAGTCGGGGTGCCAGGTGATCCGTTACATTCTCTATCTCACAGTCGGAGACTTGTTCAAGGTGCATAACTTTTACATAGTACCTATCTATCCTTGTATAGCAATTATGTACCAAGGAGTAGAAAGTACCTGCCATGTCTGTCTGGCTATGCGACATCCAAACATTGTAAAGGTTAATTTTCTCATCAATTTCGACATTAAATTAACTCTGGTGTGCATTTTAACAGACGAGGAGTCTGCTATGGGTCTTGAATGCAATTGAAGTCTCCCCCCAGGATAAGTATTCCCTGTTGTATTCTATCAATATTAGAGAGGTCCACAATAAGTTTGCCTGGTTGTCGTTAGCGACATAAACATTCGCTATTATGTAGGTGACCTTGTGAATCACTGCTACTATAATTAAGAACCTTCCCTTTGGGTCCGCTATTTTCTTAATTAAGGAAAAGGACACTTGGTTACTAAATAGGGTAGACACTCCTTTGTATTTTGTAGCAGAGGTAGCATGGAATTGGTAAGGGAATTGTTTGATCCAGTATTCGCAGAGGTCTGTTTGAGAGGAAAATCAGTCTTGCGGCAGCATTCATAACAGACTGTAGCGGGGCAATACGGCTATTGGAAAGACCAATTAGGAGAGTTACAATAGTCCATGAAAGAGATTACTAGAGCATGGACAAGCTCTTTAGTAGCATCTTGTATAAGAAAGGGGCAGATGCGGACAATGTTTTTGAGGTGGAATTGGCATGATTTGACAGCAGACCAGATGTGAGGCTCAAAGGTGAGGCCAGAATAAAAAGCAACACCAAGACAACGTGTTTGTAAGGATGGGCTAATATGGGTACCACCAATCTGAAGGGAGAGCGAGAGAGGAGGATTAATATTAGGAGGAGGAAAGACCAGAAGTTCTGTTTTGGAAAGATTCAGTTTCAGAAAGCGGGAGGACATCCAATCAGAGATAGAAGAAATGCAAGAGGTGATACGTTGCAGGACTTCAGGGGAGAGGTGTGGGGAGGAGAGATATTTCTGGGTGTCATCAGCATACATGTGGTATTGGAATCCAAAATAGGTAATAAGTTTGCCAAGAGAGGCAGTGTAAAGAGAAAACAGAAGAGGACCAAGGTGAGAGCCTTGGGGGACTCCAGCTGAGACAGGACGAATGGTGGAGGTATCATTAGAAAAAGAGACACTGAATGAGCGTTGGGAGAGTGTAGTCGAATGGACCCTCCTATCATAATTTATACCAGCTCTGGGCTATCCGTATCCCCTTTGTTTTACCCTCTCCTTGACCCCCTATGTGCAAAAGTGACAATAACTGTGCAAGACTTACTCCCCTGGCTTTGTAACCTAAGGTTTCCCCTGTTTCACCTGGCCGTTCGTCAAAATCTATTCCCTTAAGTGGTTCCCATGGTTTTGTTCAACAATCAAACTACCGAACGATAGACCACCCAGATACGGAGTGTGCCGCTCATTAACTCAGATCACACCTCCATAAACCGCAATCACACAAACGTTCTAAGCGTTCACCATTCGTATAGACGAACGCGTGGAGGCGGCCATCTTGTCACACGAACAAAGGCACGAACTAAGCATTATTTGGTAGAAACCATCTACCGAACCAGATACATCTAATGAAGTTATGCACGAACATATCCGTTCGTGAAATTTACCCATTATGTGACTGAAAAGATAGACTGTCCGCACAGCCTAATTCTCTGGAACTATTTTGGGCATGAAAACATGCGTCGGTCAAAAGGGACTTCCAATAAATTTGTGAACCCCTGCTCTGATCTGGGTAATTTTGGGATATGTTTTTCACCCAGATCAGGGATGTGCCATTTATGGGGATATGTAATGTTTTTGGGGTACTTCTGGAATCTTGGGAAATATGTGGTTTTCCTGCCTGGAGATAACTGAGTTATTACATTATCTACCTCAATTATCTATCAGGCAGAGGGGAGGGCTTGTACATACTGTATGGGAGTGTCTCTATGTATAACCCTGTTTCATTGGTCTGTGAACTTTGTATCTCGGTCCCCACAAGGTCCACCTAGGCGGTAACCTTGTGGGGAAAATCACATAAAAGGCAGTGTGCCACCATTAAACCTTCAGTTATTCCCCTTAAACTGAGTGTCGTCCAGTTACTGGGGAGGTGTTGGGAGAATCTTGTCTTGCTTTGTTGTATTTAGCTGTTCCTGTGAAACATCTTCTTTGTTCCTGAGACATCTTGGAGAAAACCAGCAGAGAAAAGTCCCTGCCAGACTAGCGCTCCGCTACAGAGAGATAAGAAGAAAACCACCAGAGGACAGAGTCACAGAGA